AGAATTCCCTCCTACCAGCGGCAATTGCAGAAGGCGAAGATAAGCGGCAGCTATCGAGGCAGCGGAGATGGAGGAGCCTTGTCTGGAAGCCAAATCTGGCCAAACTTCGTCACCAGCATAACCGCAGCTTTTGTATTGTTGCTGGTCAGCTGATGACCAGGCCAGTTTTGCCACTGTGACGGAGGACAGACTTGTGTTTGTCGCTTGGATGACGCCAAAATCATCGTTCAGACGAGTGGCCAGGTGACGAGAGACTCCGGTGGCCTGTAGCACGCATTTAGTCAGAATATATAAGGGATTTTAACATTTAAAGATATGAAGAAAAACTGAGTTTCAAATGATTCATGAATGCTTTGTTGTGGCATCATTTCTCATTTAGAAGGAAAAGTTGATTGTAAGGAATTTGCGGAATGGGCGCATCGGAAACCGAAAGAAGATTGCGGTTGGATTGTGTGAAGAAGACCTCAGCTCATCGTCATCTGATGAACATCGTGAAAGCCAGAAACCATTGTTTATTAAAATTCACTAAACAACAAAAAACCAAGAATTTTGGCCAGCCGAAATGCTACATACTTCTTATTCCTAATCTTGCGATCTTACTTAGACATTTCATGATTTGGTTGGCCTCTTTGTGCTTGCTCTAAATAAATTTAGACAAATGAAGTTGGTCACAACTTTACTTTATGTAAATAAATTAGCATATTATCCTTCAATCCTGCAGTTTGTTCTAGCTTCGTGGATGTTTGGTCGTTGTGTGTATGCAATATCCAAGGGCTAGTTGGCAATTTGGGGTTCCAAACCAGACTCCAGGCCAATCAAGTCTTCTCCTCCTACTCGGTGGCTCTTCCTGTTACCTCTCCTTCTCTCCCCCTCTCTTTCGCACTCCCTCGCTAATTATATCCAGCAACCAGATATGGTTCTTTCTCAGTTTCCTATACTCGTTCCTCTTATTCAGGGGGTTGTTTGTTTTGTTAATTTCAGTTGACTCCCTGATGATGACACTTAGCTGTCAAGACCTCACATCCGATTTAGGCTATTCCAATTGGTGACATGTAGTGATCTGGATCCACAAACCTTTGCAGGGAGTTTTTAGTTCTAAGAACCTCTCTTTTATTGATCGACAAGTCTCCTCCACCATGTTTTGATCTACATATTGGTTACCTCTCAACCTATTTTCTGGTATTTCGAAATTATTAACTAAGAATTCTAACAGATAATTGTCCTCAACTAAGATTTTTCTTAGCCTTTCTTACTCCTGATCCTGATTATTTATGTCCGCTACACGTAATCGCTTTATTATCAATGATTTCATGACTCATACCCTAGTACCACAAGTAAGATTTGAGAGGAAAATAAGAAATGCACACACATTGTGGGTTTTATATGCGCAACCCTACCCAGTTTATTCCTTTCTTCACCAACCAGGACGTCCAAAAAGGGTAATTCATTCTCCTTTTTACAACCACATCATGAATTCAGTTGTCCTATCTAATCATTTCATTAACCTAAGCAAGTCTTCCAAACTCTCTTGCCATGCTGCCAGAGAACAAATTAGTCATTCATATATCCGACCAATAGTGCTTCTTGAAAGAGCCGGACTTCTAAGTGAGCCGTGTAGTTATCAACCAAGACTGGAGATAAACACTACCCCATAGTTAAACCTCAGGCTTGCTCATATAATTTATCATTAATGGTTCGCCAATCTCATGATTGACTCTTTGGTTATCTGAGTGTTAAGTAAAAGTTAATCCTAAAGTCTATAAGGCCCCACTTACATTGATACCATATGGAAAGTCATAAGAATTCTTTGGTAAACATTTCTAAGAAAACCTGATTTTTATTTTAATTGACCTATATTTTACGCACCAAACAACCCTTAATATTCACAATGTGATATTACCTCATTAAGATCGCAAAGTAAAGTGTAAGAATTAAGGCAATTTCAACCGGCCACCTTTCTTGGAATAGTGTTTTTCGGTGATTGTTTAAAGATGTTGCTTTCTCTCTTTGACGGTGTCCATCACATGACGGACAAGAGCTCGGCACGAAACCGTCGAGGTCACATTACGATGAACCGAGGCTTTCTTCGCACAACCAAACAATCCCAAAACTAGGGCAACCCTCTTTTGGGATCCGGTGCAGCCAATTTTCTGACTTCCTTCTCTCTGCCTTTTCAAACGGAATGGAAGGTATACCAGTATCAAAATGGTATATTTTTTAACCTATTTCGCAAAGTGTTGTTTCTTACTCTGATAATGTCCTTCACGGTGGTATGGACAAACGTTTAGCACAGGTTCATCGATATTGGAGGAGGGTGAGCCGAGGAATTCTTCATACCGTCCGACATTCTTCATTACGCGGCCATTCTCCTTCTTCCGGCAAGACCATTTCATGAATTCATTCCATTCTCATTTTTCTTCGAAATTCAAATTCATGTCACAGTATAATAGTTAGACTATCTTATCTTATTTACTCTTTTCATCTTTTCTCTACTCTTCTCTCCTCTCCTCTTGTCTACTCCCCTCTTCTCTTTTCTTCTCTTCTCTTCTCTTCTCTTCTCTCCTCTCCTCTCCTCTCCTCTCCTC